AGGCCATTCTTCGATAAATTCATTCAGAAGCTGAAATATGTGCTCTCTTGTAGTTCCTGTTGGTAGCAGTTTACAGAACAGAAAGTCTTCATGGGACATGCCCTCAAACTCGTATCTAACGTAAACGAATTGGCCACATCGACTACAGACTCATCTAATTGCAGTGAAAAACATCTGCTCATCTTAACGCGCTCTATCAGTGTACTTTTGATATAATCCTTCATTTCAATAATTCTATGAATGACTGTGTCTTTCAGGGGGAGGGGGGCAGCAGGTCGAGCTGTTTAGCAGCTTTTTCACTACACGTAATACGTGTCAACTCTTTTGCCAACGGTAAATAAGGTTCTTCAAAAATAGTGTAGCTTACCTGCTTTAGCAATACGCAAGCTTGCATTTTTCCGCGTTTCCGTTTTTACTTCCGTATTTATTTAAAGTTTTTATTTCATGCGCATGGGAGCGAAACACAGAGACGCTCTGTGTATTTTTCTCAAATTAGAACAGTTCTTAAATATTTTTCTGTTATCACGCTTTCGTGTGCTCACAAGATTACCTGCGTCCGTAGCACGTATTTCTATGCATTTCTGTTTAGAACGTTGGCATAGTTCCAAAATCACGCACATTCTCCTTTCTCCCTATTTGCTGGAGATACAGTAGCTTTTTTTAAAACAATTGGTCACTTGCATCCGTAGCACGCATTCCTATAGAGTGGTATAGAATTACAGAGTATCTCTTGTGTCCACTGAAGTATTAGCACGCACTGTATCGTAGTACGTAGGCTGCGTATTCGACACGTATTAAAATACAAAATATGAAAAACCGTCCCGATTTTTCAGCGCACACGACACAGTTCCAGGGTCATTTGGCCTACCACTTGGCGGCACTCCACGTACCACTGCCGGTACGCGTACCACAGTTTGAGAACCACTGCTCTATTTGATGACACTGAATCTATAAGCCAACAAAATTCTCTGGGCTTACTGTACATGAGCGTAAGTCATATACATGAAATATGATTTAAATTTAAAATGTTACTGTTGGGCTTCTTATTGTTAGATTTATCCTGTTTTGTGATTGATATTTGTTTTGAAATACAAATAGTAAATTCTGAGTAAAATCTTTCCTTTTTTTCTGTATTATTGGAAGAAGAGGAATTTAAGATGTCTTTGTTTTGGTAAGGTGGTAATTTCAAAGAACATCTTAAACATCTGGCCCTGGCAAATGTAGTTATTTCTCTCTTTCTAAATATTTTAGTACAAGACATTGCAATTCAAATGTATTAATGATGACATAACAACCACATACTGTATAACAATCACTAGCTAAAACTGATATTACTGAGAGGTGTTCATAATAAAGCATTTTTTGTTTTGCTTGTCAACACTTCAGCATGTGAAAATAAGGGACTGTTGAAATAGAAATGAGGACAACAGCAGAACAAAAAGGAAAACTCCTTTCCCAAGTCAGATGACATAAAAAGAAAATGTTTTACCTGTCCATCAGAAGATTCCCTCCATCCTCCTACTGCCTGTTTGGCCTCATATGCATAAACCATAACCAGCAGAAACGTTGTGCCATAAAAGGACTGTGAAAGAAAAGGCAGACTTATGATTCAGCCTGCTTTTGCATAACATTGTTTTATTACCTGATCCGTAGACACGAAAAAGCAGTGTGGAGAAAAAACCAGTCAAGATGGAAGGATATCTGCTCTAGAGATATTAAACTCCTTACAGAACTATACATCCCCATCTTTATTGGTCAAAACTCCAGGGGAATTCCTCTGAAAAAGATGTTTTTACCTCAGTATATTTTGATCCTTCTGTGTCATGATGTGACTGCGTTTACAGAATAAAAATAGGAACTGTTCTCCAAAATGAATAAACAACCCCTTTCTCACTTTGACTTTACAAATATTCCCTTTGATTGTTAATACAGTGACTTCCTCACCTTTAAGAGACCAACTTGCTCATCAAAACAATGCCATATAAAATGCCAGAAATGCTTAATTCTAAAACCAAGTAACCTACAAATCTTTTACTGTGAATTGCGGCTATTTAGTTTACTAATGGCAATAAAATAACACTACATATCCAACTGTCTCGTTACAATATGTGAAGGACAGACAAGACTCTGTGCACTGCATTTCTTATGACATTTATTGTGTGGGGAAAAAACTATTTTGTACATTCTTGTGCCAATTGTTTGTCGGTGGCTCCTGAATAGCTTTACAAGCATCGGAATGTTTGGCAATATTTGAAACTGACAGTGTCAGTGCCCAAGAATTAGATTCCACACAGCATCTAAAAACCGTGGCACTGCAGTAAAAAAGAAAAGCATGTGAATTACTGTTTTTAAACACTGCAAAACTTTAGCCAAAGAGCAAAAGTTAATCTCAAAGCTGAAGACTTTATGACTGCCAGCACTGCACATTAACCTCAGCTGACTGGTTTGGAATCCTTGAAAATACACTATCCCACTTATTGACAAGCTTTCTGGCCCATTTCACACATAAACACACATAAAATCTGGCATATTTCTTCATGATTCTCTCCCATATTTTATATTAAAAGTATAAATAATATTGAAAGAGACAGAGACAAGAACCATTCATTAAAAGTAAATAATTTCACAACTTTTTTATAAATAACTAATATTGAAAAGTGAAGCATTATCACTGGGTACTTACCAATGCTAGAGGTATTGCATATTCACAAACATTGTAAATTGACAAGACTGTGCTAGTCTGGTCAGGATCTGTGACACCTGTGAGAATATTTATTACACTCATAGACAGCAGCACCGCAGCAGCCAAAAAATCTGCTAATGCAAGCTGGAAGAGTGGTCGGACCTGCAAGTAAAGTATATGTAGAACCCAATATTAGTCCCTGTGATTAGAACATCTACTGCTGCAAAACAGGTTTGTCTGCTGGCAATGACCGTGGCAGGAAGACAAAGAATTCTTAGATTGAGATGTAGAATATCTCACGTGCTACTACTTATGACACTGTTTTTCCAAAGTATTTAACATACCAGATATTTAAAAGCCAAATATGTGTCACCCACAGAAAGGTATTGAAACCATCATTGCAGGTTTGGCACAAAAATGACATTTATCTTCTATAAAATCTGTTGGCTTAGCACTTGATGCATTATCTAACACTCAGCATGCCTGCGATTGCTTCTTTTGTGCTGACTGACATCTTCTGTACATTTAAAACACAGACATGTTGTTGGAATGAGACAATTGTCCACCTGCTGTATTGTTTTGTGTTCAGGGGCCGAAAAAGAATGTGTTGCAACGTTTTCAGTAAGAAAATATTAATCTCTAAAAATACAGGCCTCTCTCTTTACATTTGATCATAATAAAATGAGAAAATGCCACCAGTGATTTAATGTGAACATGACCACATGGACACATTAACTTCATGTACATTTCAGAGCGAAAAGGACAGGATTTGGCTGCATATCCCATTGAAGCAGTAACTGCATGATATATATTGAGTGGTACAGTACTTCATCATGCAGCGTGATAATGACCCAAAACATATACTGTAGCTATTGCAGCCAAGATGAGCATCAAGAGACAGTTTATTAAGTTTAGACAAGCTATTCTTTGGTTATATTTTATTTCCCTTAAACAGTCACCTAATGCACGGGATTCTGTCTAATGTTTGCAGGCAATTGTTTGGAGTGGAGCAGTGGCACTGTGGCTAAGGATCTGCACCTGTGGCTGGAAGGTTGCCAGTTCAAATCCCATGGCTGCCAGAGCAATCCTGCTCTATTGGGCCCCTGAGCAAGGCCCTTAACCCCAACTTCTCCAGGGGTGCTAAATAAATGGCTGACACTGTGCTCTGACCCCAATTTTCTTTCCCTGTCTGTGTGTCTCATGGAGAGCAAGCTGGGGTATGTGAAAAGAAATTGCTAATGGAAGAAACTGTGTATGGCTAATAAAGTGATCCGATCTTATTTTAATGATAAATAAAAAGTATTTTCCTTTCCATACTCCAATGTTTTAAGGGAAGGTTCAATTTAACCACACAGCTTTCTGATTGTGGGTAAGCCTACATACAGTATGTAAGGAACAATATAAGGAACAAGTTCGTCTTTTAACTTTTTCTCTTTCACCTCAAGGGACTGCTGGTAGTTCTTCCATTAAACAGCAGTAGAGGTCTTGAGGTTTCCTCACAGGGAAAATCGGGAAATTCAGTTTTCCCCACATTTCATTGGATATTTAAAAACTCACTTTTTGTGTTATATTAAAAAAGGAAGAAGCATTTTTCATAAATATTTCCTCTTATACACTTGGAATCCCCAATGATTTTCCGTTTATTCAATAAACCACCAACACATCTGTCCAGTTTTTGGAACTGTGTTAGTCTCATCATTGCTACAAACGTCATTGCAAACACAGGTGAAACACACTGTGTAAACCTGCACTGTCATCTGCTTCTTTAAACACACTACACAAGCAGCAGAGGTTAGCATGGAACAGAGCAATGTCACAGCTCTTCACTGATAATGGAAAAGAAGGTGCCTGACAAGCCACAAGAGGGGAATAACCTGAGGATACCCTGACCAATTTCAAACACCTCTTGCTCAGAAAATTGTGTGCTAATGCTAAAGCAGTTACTGTCATTCAGTCATTCATGTAGTCGAGCCCAGATGGCAACCAGAGAGGTGCACTACTGAATCACTGAGGATGATGGTTTCAGAGTCTTAAGATGAGCTGGCGAAGCCCTGAGGTTGGATCAGTACTTTCACTGTGCAGTGGATTTAGCCAACAATGGTGGCATATGCACAGTGGTCGTTTGTTTAATATGTGGTAACCACTGTAGCTGAAAATGCTCACAAGAAATGAACATCACACAAAGTGGACAGGCACTTTCTCCTCTTATATTTTTCATGGCACTTTGTAACCCACCTGACCATCCAGATGTCTCTTCTTCACCATTGAAACAACTATTACAGAACCACTACCTAGCAAGCTGTAAAAGAAATAGAAAAGTTCAAGTTGTTTTATTTTCTGCTGCATGTGTCTAAAGGATAAGCATAATATGACCCTGATTGTGGTAATATTGATGCTACATAATGTCTACCAGCTGAAGGTTCACTTTATTATGTAATTATGAAATACCGAATTACAGTATGTAACTGACTGCCTTTTATTGGTCAAACAACAATTAAGTTAGTCTTCACACAGAGGTAGTCCTCTTAGATCTAAATAAATAACCCTGTTACTGAAAGGTCACCTTAGTCAAAACTGCATTTTACTAGTAAATTTTACATGTATAGAAGCAGTGCAAATATTTTTTTTTTTCGTAAAACACATTTATAATGTGACTATCTAATCACTGACAGTTATAAAAGTGCTCTAAAAAGATAAGAAGTATGATAAAGAAAAACATTGCAAATCTAGACTTGGCATGTGTAGTCATTCTGCTGTCTGCTGCTGTTTTACATCTTTGTCATGCCATGACACAGATCACGGGGGGTTACAATTTAAAGAGACCAACAGAATCAGCAGTGCTAATGCCCATTGGGACAGGGGAACCCCCCATGCTATTTATTGTTCAATGGGGATTGAGAATGCAAGATTGAGTAAATATTCATAACAGTTGTTAATGCACATTTAGAAGCAGCATCAGAAGAATAATTATCAGTATCTGTCAGTGGCTGAGTTCATGTTGTAAAATAATATGTTGCAAAAGAAATAAAATCATTATTCATACATTTCACTTACAGTACATTGTCATAAACCACGCAATAGATCTGTGATATTCACAATACTGTAAAAAAAGGCAATGTAAACTGTTATCGACATCAGTGCAGCTTTAATGGGTGTAAAATATCTGACTTGGCTCCTTGTCTTATTTGATATCTCAGGCCTCCAGGACTGCTAAAGAAACCATTCTTTCATCTTCAGATTCCTTGTTCTAGTGAGGCTCATGGCGGCTGCATGAGCATATTGTTCCTGTGTGTTCTCAGGCCAGCTCAGAAACAGTCTCTCCAGTGTGTCATGCATCATCTTAGAGGTCTCCACCTAGTAGTCCTGCCCAGGAAACTTCCAACGGATACGTCCCACTGTGTCTCTGTACCAGGCTCCCAAACCACCTCAGTTTGTTCCTCTTATTCCAGAGAAGCTGCGACTCTAATCCAAGGCTCACCAAGATGTTTGTCACACCCGGTCTCGGTTTCTGACCCTGTTGTAAGCTAAACAGCCCCATAAAGAAGCCTGGTTTTCTCCACTTGTAGTCATACTCAGCCCTCATGACGACAGACGGGGACATAATGTAGATTGACCTTTAAACTGAGGGCTTCACAGAGAACATATCTCCTGCTCTAATGCCACAGATTGGCACAGCACCGACAACACTGATCATTCCTGACTATTCAGTCAGCCAAGCCTCATGCTCCAACCAATCACTTGTCATAATAATAATAATAATAATAATAATAATAATAATAATAATAAATAATTGCTTACACTTATATAGCACTTTTCTGGACATTCCACTCAAAGCACTTTACAGGTAATGGGGACTCCCCTCCACCACCACCGATGTGCAGCATCCACCTGGATGATGCAACGGCAGCCATAGTGCGCCAGAACGCTCACCACAGATCCGCTATCAGTGGGGAGGAGAGCAGAGTAATGAGCCAATTCATAGATGGGGATTATTAGGAAGCCATGATTGGTAAGGGCCAATGGGAAATTTGGCCAGGATGCCGGGGTTGTGAACAAGACCCCAGGGGTACAAGACCTCCTACATTAGGACAGACCCCCTCTTCATCAGGAGTCGAGTCCTCTACTTTTTTTTTCTGGGAGAGAACCTTGAACTCAGGTTTGATTCTCATCCTGGCTTGATATGTCAAACTCATCTTCGAGCACGGTCAGATGAGGCAAGAATGACAATTGCTAACAGCAGATATGCCACGTCCGAGACCCCCAACCACACATCGTCCACACCTCAGCACAGTGATATCCTGGCCAAGAAAGTCATGTACAAGGTAGAGAGGTGACACTCTTGGTACAGTAGAAAGTTACTTCTAAAACAGCTCACAGACGTTGTTTCATATGTTACAAAATCCATCCCAAAAGCAATTTAAATTTTGTATAGATCATGCCTAAGTGACTTGCAGAATATTAAATAGTAATACTGTTAGTAATGTATCACTTATGAATACATTTTATTGATCTACTCATATGCAATAATTAAAATATTTTATATTCTTGGATACTATGGACTTTCTTCCCCTTTTTTCCTGAAGTAAGACAAAGTGCATTACATTGTGATGCATGACAGCTCACACAATTGTATAAAACCAGGCAAGTCTGCAGCATTGAATGGATTTCTTCAATTGCCCATTATTGTATTCTACTGAATTTAACCAGTGATAAGTAACCCGGATGTCACGAACATTCTCCGGTGTTCGGCAAGATGCACTTGTCTGATTCAGTATGACAAGCATTTCTCATAATGAACAGCCTCAGAGGAAGAGTAGCTGCTGAGCTCTGGTCCTCATCACTTCGACTCACAGACAGTGGAATGCTCTAATGTCACATGACATGCTTGTTCCTCAGGTTAGACTCACCTGTTATAATAAGAGCTACTGAAGCAAAGACACATGTACCTCAAAGCCCCTACAGTAAGTGCCAATGGTAAGACAAAGCATTACAAACATGTTTCATGAGGTCTTGTAATGAACGGTTTAGCAGAAAGGGCTAAATAGGTGAAGAGAGTGAACAAACAAAACAAAAATAGTGAGAAGCACTAAAAAAGCAACAAATGAGCATTGAAGCCAATAGCATGTTTCTTTGTCAATGCCTCTCTGTACATTATATAAGACAAACTGTAAAAGATGGAATCAGATTTGACCAAATAAACAAAAAAATATAAAAAGAACGGGCTTACCTTAATGATAATGATGATATATAAACTTCAGAAAGGGTCCATATCTAAAATAAAGATAAAGGTGCAATGACAGAGTGTACAAAATGTAAATTACAAAATTAATATTTAATAGGAATCAAGTGAAAAAAGTTGAATAGTAACAATTGTAGAAGGGATTATCTTCTTTTGTGTGATTTAATCTTACAATATACATTATTTTGAAACTATAATTAAACTTTGACCTGAATTGCTTGAAACTACAACCCACTTGGTTTTCACCAAATCCAATCAAAAGTTGATGATAGTTTTTATTATTATTATTATTATTATTATTATTATTATTATTATTATTATTATTATTGGAGAAATATAAGAGGGCTCAATTAAATACCGGGTTTAAAATCTCTGGAATGAGAATGAAAACTATTATTTAATCTGGCCCTTTAACTATGGAGAAGTCAGATTTCATTTTCTCATGACAAAACTCTGGGTTAGCGTAATTTGAATTATTTCTAAATTCAGAACACGTTATGGGAGGGTATGTTAACACAGAGTGGAGTGTTTTAACACGCACCATGATGAATACTATCTGCTAGGATATCCATTAGCATTTACTGTACGTAAATGTATCTTTAAATGCAATTTTATAAGACATTCGTGATCTTCACAAAGGTACACCGAAACACGTAGTCTAGCAATCGTAATTTATCTTTACTATAACTGAAAACTAATCACAAACTAAACGAAAATATTTTCAAATTTTCAAAAAGTGAAAACACGGACTTTTCCCCCACTGAAAAGCGCAGTCTAAAAACAATTTACGCACCACGCACTAACACGTCCTAGGTAACAAGGGATGTATAACTATATTACAGTAAGCCTCCATTATCGATAGAAACAGACCATTGTTTGAATTACGGTTCACTACACAATTTTCCAACTCCTATCATAACATACTGTTATGATAACCAGCACTGCATGCTACGCTTCCTTCTGTGAAAATGGGAACTAGCGATCTCATTTAGTTTTGTGAATTGAGCCTTCTTTCATAACCTGCAAATACGTTATGCAGAATAATATATATATATAGTTTCAATAAAAGTAATAATGTATACGATTTCTATAAAAATAGCAGTAGATGTAGCGCAAGTGGCATTTCTATTATAATATATGGACGGATAACCGACTGATAGGAACGACTCCTGTATCAGTGCTAGTTTAAATAAATCTCGCACAGATATTATAATCTTATCAGTAACTAGAAAATAATTTGCTTCCCAAGAGAAGACTTAAACATTTGAACGACGTGCGCCTGTCTTCACTGCACACATTATCTTACCTCTTTGTATTAAATTATTATGTGGGGTATGGACCTACCATCGAAGGTGTTCCTTCGTCACCAAACATTAAAATATATTTCTGCAGCCGTCTACGTTGCATTTGTCTTACCTGGGAATCAGCCAACGTGCAATTGCTGGATGCAAACGTTTTTTGTGGAGTCATTGTGAAGTATGCGGGAATAAATAAGATGTTCCAAAGGAACTCAAAATTACAAGTCCTCTTTAAGTCTGATGTCGCAGAAGTGAAAATAGTTTTCCTGGACTGTAATGGTGCTGTCCTTCAAGCTGGCGTGTCTTATAAACCGCACCTCCGCCCTCCACACATAACACTTAATTGTATCACGTGTAGTCTTACCTGCTACAGTGAAAGGAGACGCAAAACCAGGAAAGATAAATCCTGTGTCACTGTTTAGATGTCTGCGTCAGGCAGCGGGATTTTAGGAAACTGGGTTCGGTGAACTGTGTGAAGATTGAGTCTGGGACCCCGGATTCTGTGATTTGAAACTCCCGATTGCTATTGTTCAGCAACTGGTCTGGTTTCCTTTGACATTTATTAAGGACTGCTTAATTTTCTTTCGTGTTCAATCCAAACTAGTTAGCGTAAATCTCTTTGACTTTAATTGTATTCACAAAATAGTACGTGTCCTACTCATTCTGTCATCTGTTTATTTGCATATACTGTAAGAGGTCACATACTGTGCTTCACATCCTTAGTCTAATTTAAAAGTTTAGTTCTGTATTGCAGTTGTTCCACCAAACTTAAACTGTTGGTGACTCTGAATTAGAACATTTAAATGATTTGTACCAGTAAGCCAACATTTTATCTGACAATGGTATGAGTGATTATTTTACAAGGAAGACCACAAGTGTACATAATTTGTCACAATTATATGCATTTATTTATGGATGCACGTAATATCATAGTGGATGTTATTACTTATAGATAACTTTATATACTCCATCTGAGGGCACGGGTCTCCAAATTCTATTTGCAACAAATTTTACTGTCTTCGTACACAGATCTTTTTATTTGAATCATTGAATTGTCATTTCTTGTGAGTAATTCTGGGACAGAGGTTTAACTGGTATAGTACTTGAAAACAGTGTGTTACAGTGTAAGAATGGTCCAGTCACCCCAAATTCCAACCATTTATTATTGATCTTTGCATGGTTTATTCATTGGGTTTGATAAAAAAAGATCTGAATATATGATACAGACTTTGAAGAACAGTGTCAGAGTACAATCCCACAACATTGGAGTTGCAGGAAAAGAAGAAACATAAAAAAGTAAGAACCTATTTTGGAAGAAACTTCAGAATTTTAAAGTAATGTATTTCTTGTCTCTCACCTGGTATGTCTGTCTACCATGAGCATCATTGTGACACTGTGTCCTACACAACTTTGCTATTGACAGATTTTCGACAAACCAGCTGTTTTGACAATGAAGAAACTTAAATAAAACACAGAACTAATTGGCTCCAGTGACACCCAGATATAACAGGACACTCTAAAGAGTTAACCCCCAGTTAAATGTATTTACCTTTTCAATTTAATTCTCTCTTAATATATATCTCAAAATTTAATATTGCATACTACAGGTGCACAAGTACAGTAGTTGCAATAGTGATAGCACCTTTATTATTAATTCAAGAGATTATTAGTTATATAACATTAAAGTACTGTAGTTGGACTGCCATTTTCAGATGAATATTACAGTGTGTCTCATTGACAGATGCTTTGAACCATTTCAAAGCGACAATATTATGTCAATGATAAGTTTCCAGAATGCTCTGGCAATTTTCATTGTTGCCCACTGTACCTCTTACTCCTTAGCAGACTGCTTTGCCAGTACAGAGTTGTAACCACAATGACTATTGATAAAGTGCTATTTTTAAACTTTGGGCTCATGCATTTAGCAACACTTTGTATTGAGTATTGTTTAAATGTGCCTTTTACTGGTAATGTGGAAATATTTTATAACTGAGATAACGCAATGACAATGCTCAAATAGTTTCGCTACTGGCCTTCCTGGTTCTTCCATCACCATGTTGCTGCTTGCTGATAACTGCAACACATACTACAAGAACAGAAAACGCACTATGCAGTTTTTTTTAGTATTTAGAAATTCCAGGAATAAATGAAAAGCCAAATAGTGTTATGAAATCCACAAAACGGAAATGCACAAAATGTATTGAAACGTCAAATGAACTATGCATTTTTTGTGATATCAAGTTTTACTAGTGTACATTTAATTTTAACAGGGTCAAAGTTTTTGTCTGCATATATCTGAACTTTATTTAGTACGTGAATAGTGATATTACATTCCTGCTATTGGCTACATCTGTTAACTTCCACTTGACAGCAAGTAAATAATATGAATAGATAAATGTTATTTTAAATAGTGCCTTTAAAAGTGGCTTGTCAAAGTGCTTTAAACAAAACAAAAGAAAAATACATGAAATATAAGCAGGACTGGAATTTGGTGTTTGTAAGCCCTAGGCTCTTTCATTCCAAAATTTGCAGAAAGAGGGGTAAACGCCAATTGAATTACGTCGTTTGGCATGATATACTTTAAACCATTCTAATGCTAAACCAAGTGATTGATGGACCATCACTTCCATACTTCTAGTTTCAAGAACAGCTTCTAGATAGCATATGATTATTGATTTGGACCTAGAGTTGATCGCAAGCTTGTTTCAGCTTGTTTTTCATTGGTCACTAGTTCATAGGCCCTAACAATTTCGTAGGCCCTAGGCATTGTGCCTACAGTGCCTAATGGCAAATCCAGCACTGAATATAGGTAATAAACAAGTGAGATAATGTAGTAGAAAATGGTACGGAATACAGTAGGACCAATGGGGCACAAAGAATCAGTTAAGTAAAAGCTCTTCTATAAAAGGTTTTGAGTCTTGATTTGAAACAGTTCAGGGAAGGCGACTCTTTGATGCCCTTCGGGATAGAGTTCCAAAGCTTTGGGGCATAGTCACCCATAGAGTGCAGACGGGCTTGGGGGATGGATAGGGGACCAGAATTTAAGGAAAGAAGGCTGTGAAGTGGGGAGTAGGACAAAAGTAGCTCAGAGAAGTACTGAGGTACTAAAGCCATGTAAAGCCTTATAGGTGAGCATGAAGATTTTGAAGTCGACATGAAAGCTGAATGGAAGCCAGTGCAAGAACTCCAGGATAGGAGTAATGTGATCACTTGCAGTAGACCTGGTCAGGATTCTGGCTACCGTATTTTGGACATACTGCAGTCTGTTCAGTGTAGATTTAGATACCCCACCGAGTAGAACAGTAGTACAGTAGTCAAGTTGGGAGAATACGAGTGTAACAACATTTCTTTATTCAGCAATAAAAGGGATACCCCCATGAATTCACTGTAAAGTAAAACAGAAGACCCTTGTAGTGTTTGATGAGGTCTGTCAACAGTTAATAAGAGGCCATGAGGCCTGCAGTATTGCTTTGCCTACAGTTTAACTATTTTAATATTATACATTAGCAATTAATCATTAACTCATTAACTTATTTGATTAAAGTGCAACCTATTAAAAAGATTCAAATCTAAATTCAGGTTTGGCTTTAAATAGAAAGGTAACTGTAATTGAAAGGGAGAAATACACCATAGAGAAATACAAATTGTTGATTTTTAGTAATGGTTGTATTGTCTCTGTTAAAAAAAAGTTTCATACGTTACATGAAATGTACATTAAGAATGCAATGAAGTAATTTACAATACTAAGCTATAGGATAGGTGGCAAGCATGGTTGCTGCTTTGCAGCAGTAGGGCCCTGGGTTCAATTCCAGACCTGGAATACTATCTGTGTGGAGTTTGTTTGTTTTCCTCATGTTCACATGGTTTCCTTCCACTGCAATAAGAATGCTCAAGCATTTTTGCTACTGGACTACTTGATTCCTATTGGGAGGTTAATGAGCTTCTGTGAAAACTAGTTCTGTTGTGAGTGTGAGTGTGTTCTGTGATTTCCTGGTTCCTGACCAGGAAAGTATTCCACCTTGTGCCCCTTGCTGTCTGGGATAGGTTCTGTCTTCCACGTAACCCTGTATTGGATAAAGTGGTAACCATAAAGTGGATGGATGTTAAAGGTATAACATATATTGTATATATTACTGTAGGTATAATTAAGAAACCACATTTTAATATATTACAGGGTGATACAGCCAGCAGCCATATCACCGTGCAACTCACAACTGGCAACCAGCTGCAGCTAAGCAGGTGTGAGCCTGGTCAGTACCAGGATGCGAGACCTCCCGGGAAAAACTAAGGTTGCTGCTGGAAGAGGTGTTAGT